CTTTTCTTCTCCCCACCAACGATTGAGTAAGGACAAGAGAAGTGTGGCGTGTAGCCCTCTCGCTTTCGATTTCTGCTTCACCGAGAACAAAGGGCCGCGCAGTCTATCTTATAAGTCTATGCCTTAAACCGAAAGAAATGGACCAATTCTCTTCAAATTCAATTACGATTGGTCAATTTCTTATGACTTAAAAATCCATCTACAATGAGAGTAGTAAGTCGTAAGCTGTAAGAAATTGACCACAGTCGAATATGAGAAGAATAATCGACTGTGACTGGTCAATTTTTTACGGCTTACGACTTACTACTTTCATTGTAGATAGACCTTTAAGGTCCAAAAGATTTGTTAATTCATCAAATCGCCATATTGGATCCGCTATTTTGAATTCTATAATGTTATAATTACTTTAAATTTGCTTTCAGAAAACATAATAGCCTTTTATCTCCAAAATAACTTTCAAAATAGCTCTAATATCGCGCGTTAGCTGAAATGCAAGGCTAATTAAGTACTCGTGCTTAGCTATTACTACAAGTTTGTAGTTTGCACCCTTAAACCTGCAGCATCGTTAACATTTGTTTAATTAAAATGTAAATTGGTATAAATATTATTGGAAGATGTGGGATTCAATACGCAGCGCGCGCGAAACGCGCGCCTGTTAAGTACTATAGTAATATATAATATACAAGTCTGATTGTCAGTCACAATTTTAAGATCGCAGCTCAGTTGTGGAAGCGTCTTTTCTCATGCACACTCGACCCGCGAGGACATCGCAACGATTCAGTATTCCTGAATTTCCCTATTAGTACCTCATTGCACAACTTAAGAATTTGGCTGTATATTATAATTGACTCTCGTTTAAGGGCAGATGCCATATAGAAAAGAATTAGTAATGTATACTCGAGAAAAAATCGCATTTCGCGATCGTATTTTTTCAAGTATCAGAAAAATTATCCTTAAAAAGCATGCGATTAACAGCCAGCAATCGTAGTGGTATATGTATTTCATAAAATATTGTAATAAATATTTAATGAATATAATGAATATATATATGTATATATATATATATATATATATATATATATATATCTGCGCACACAAAAATATATATATGTGATAGAAAATGTATAATTACAAAAAATGATATGTTTATTACATGTTTTACGTTATTTAACGAGACATTTTAAAAATAATTAAGGTTTACCTGACTACTGCAGATATGTTTTACTATAAACAGTTGTAACTATATTAAATAAGGCCTTTATCTGTTTGAACAATATTATTGACTGAATACAGATGATGCGCGCGCGTTGCTTAATTCTTTCCTCGAAAGAAACTCACGACACACAAGAGTGCATACCCTCTACCAACAGTAATTTCATCTTTTTTTTTATTTTTTTTTAATCGATATATTCTATACTTGGAAGGAAAGAAGGAATTTACTTGAAAAACCATCACTGTCATTGATCGGGAGTCTTGTATCAGAGAAACTATATCCCTCTTTCTACGTTGTACAATTAGCGTCAAGGGAATAAATGTTACCTCGGTCACAAGATACATATAAGTGTCAATCATTGAAATATATACGACACACGCAAAATTATTTAGCGAGGATTGGCAAGTATAATGTGCAATGTATAATATATAATAAACTTATCACATAAGAGATAGTTACGTCCGATATAGTAGCAATTATTATTCTCTCAATTCGTTGATCGTGACAAAGGAGAGAGAAAAAAAGAAAGAGAAAGAGCCATATGCAACCTGCACTACGAGCGACCAGTTGTTACACGGAGCGCAGAGTTTCTCCGAAATGAAAGCAATGGAAACTATATATAATATTTCCAACCATTATTACGACATCGTCTATAAAATATCATCTCTCACTGGTATGTGGCCATATCTAAAGCCAAAAACAAGAGTATTTCGTATCGCTTTGTTAACTATAATCTTGTTAACTATACTCGGACCACAGGTATAACGACCACTGGCAGAATTGATCAGCGATAATTGAACTTTTATCGGCGACATAATCACCGACAAAAGAGTTCGTTTGTTAGGAAAATATATGTAATCGATATTTTTTCAGATAGCATATCAATTTATGTGCAAGAGAAACTTGCATTGCACTTTCCAGGCAATGACAGCATATTTACTGTCATTTGTGGCAATACTAAAAGTGTACACCTTTCAATTCAACATTCATACAGTACGTTTACAGTAATATATGTCGCGGATTAAATACTCGCCGTCAAGTATACGGATCGAATTGTGAAAAGACTGCAAATTAGAAATCAATTAACAATTTTTAAAAAGAAATTAAGGAAACGAGGAAATATTTTCTTTTTAACGTAAATCACATAAACGTAAGAAAAACTGTAATAATTAAAACTATATTGCCATGATCAATGTTCTTTATCAGATTAAAGAGCTCACTCAACACTTGTTCTGCGATTGGAAGGAATTACATACTTCTGAAGAGTATGAAATTATGAAGTCCTACGCCGCGAATAGTAGACGATTCTGTTTGATATATTCTGGTGAGATGAGATCAAAACTTTTAAATGTGCGGTCCGATTTATTCGAAAGTTAGATGTGATTTTCATTTTTGTGTGTTTTCACAAGTTCATTGCAATATTTCGCCAATATCGTACATTGCAGTATATTGCTTCGCAGCGATAATTGTATTTATGTCAATGTCCCTTATACCGCATACCCTCGATATCATATTGCCTCTCAACGAGTCCCGCCCTGTGTTACCGCCGTATCGAGGATACTACTTTGTGGACATCCGGGAATATTTTTTTCAAATATTCTGGCATGCTGTCGTAGCCTGGGAAATTGTTATAGCTGGTATAATTGCTCATGATTGCTTGTTTGTAACGTATGTCGAGCATGTTTGCAGCAAGTTTGCTATAACCGGGTAGGAAAATAATTTATAACTTATAAATGAGCAAGAGACGTATACACATCGATCATCTCGTAATATAATATACTTGAAATTATTGAACGAAATTGATTGCACAAACTATTTACAGATTTCATTACCAACACTTGTTTCACGATACAAATAAAGTGAAAATTATATCATTGATAAATCCTAATGATATATATCTATCCAAGAAAGTTGCATTGCTCGTACGTAAACACCGCGAAGCTTTAGAGTGAGTGACCTAAATACTTAAATGAATAAATCCAGTCAACTCTACATTTCTCTCTCTCTCTCTCTCTCATTTGTCACAGATATGCGCAACTTCTCGAAGATACTTTTACCATACCCTTTGCCATGCAGATATTAATAGTAACGATAGGGATGAGTATTACCTTGCTACAAGTAGATACAAGTCTAATAATTCTTACAATTCTCAAAAACTAATTTCTGCAAAGGACTCAAATATTGTATTTCTTGTGGTATAGATTACCCAGGAGAATAGCGATATCTTAGAAGCAACGAGATACGTGTTCTATATCATTGGCCAACTGATTCATTTGTTCTTTCTTAGTTTCGAAGGACAAAGATTGATAGATCACAGCCTTCAGATATGCGATAAGATGTAAGGCAGTATTATTTTCGATTCATCTAAAAAAATATATCATTTACACGTATGTGTACATATGCATATTAATATTATCGCCTATGTATTATATTTCGTGTATCTTAAAAATATCGTGCAGGTACAGCAGCTGTTGGTACAAAGCATCCATGAAATTACAAAAGATGATCATGTTGGTGATGATGAAGAGTCTTCATCCGAGTTTCTTAAGCGCCGGCAAAGTTTACATTTTCTCTTTACAGAGCTTCACTATGGTAAAACAAGAATTGTCTTTAGCAAATATTAAGTTTCGGAGTCTTTTCAATGACACATGTTCTTGCCTTAAAGATTCTACAAACCTCGATGTCGTATTTTACGGTACTCGCGTCCTTTCAATAGCTTGCGTTACTTCCTGTATTCAACAATTGAGCAATGACAACAATGAAGCCATCGAAAACGATATATGTGTCTCTAATACTTTTATTACAATATATAATATATACTTTTGTTAACCATATCTTAATGTAATTTAATTTATAATCCTACCTAGTTTATATCAAATTCTACCAAAGGTAAGATCAGTATCATTCTGAAATATAGATTTTATTTTCCGCGAATGAAAAGATTGCTTCTCTAGAACAGTTGCGAGAGAAAAAAAATACTACTAATCGATAAGTACTATTCGGAGGAAACTTGCTAACATGTCAAAAGACAACGCCAATGCCTATATCAATGAGGTCTTCCCCCTCCCCCCCCTCTCCTCTCTCTCTCTCTCTACCTTGTATTTATAGTGTCAAAGGAATAAATACTATTATTATATATCCGTATGCAAGTTACGGTACACACGCGTCATTATTCGCGGAAACGTGTCGCGCGAGTTATGGGAAAATCCAATTGTAGACATTTATAGGCATATGTATAGTATTTACATTATGCATGGACCTGCAGTCTATAGAGGGATAGGTCATTAAACTATTCCTCCTATACCAAGGGAGTCGCACTCAGATGAAATAAAAAAGTCTGCAATGAGTTATTATCTAGACGAAGTCAGAGAAAGATCTCTGTTTGTGAGTAAAACTATGAATGCCAACTGGAATCACTATTATAGTCTTGTTAAGAAATTATCATCATTGTCTGGCCAATGGCCCTATCAGAAACCGATAACGAGACTGTTTTGTGTAATCTTCATGACTTTGAGTACGATTTCTATGATTATTCCACAGGTAATCGTTAATTCTCAATAAAAGTGAGAGCTGGAATAGCGAGATAGCCTATAATAAGTATATATTTTCAAATTTCTAGATAGCTAAATTTGTTACATGCGACAGAAACTTGCAATGTATCTTTCAAACTATGTCGTCCTATATGTTGACAACCATAACACTGGTAAAGCTGTACACGTGTTACTTTAACCGATGTAAAGTACGTATAAAATTATTCAATTCTATTCTTGTTATTCGTATATTCGTATTAATACTCGAGTTTTTAAATATACAATATTAAAAAAAATTTTTATGCGTATATAATGTTACGCGCGCGCGCGCGCGCGCGCGCGCGTGTGTGTGTGTGTGTGTGTGTGTGTGTGTGTGTGTGTGTGTGTGTGTGTTCTATAGTTAGAGCATATTATAGATATTAAATTATATATAGACTGTGAAGAAAAGCTTATTAATCATTTGGCACTCATAGATGAAAGTTCTTATTGATCAATTATTCGTTGACTGGAACGAATTAGAGACACCAGAAGAATACGAAATTATGAAGAGATATGCCAAGAACAGCAGACGATATTCCTTGGGATATTCGTGTAAGAATGAATCATGCAATTTCCATCTTCATATTCACTTCTGCCTGTTTTGTTTATTATGAAATTACAATTTAGCTAACGTTCGTTGGGCGAACACTTCATCTGTGTTGCAGTGTATTACTATTTTGGCGTGTACGTGTTTATATCCCTATCCCTCATACCACAAGTGTTGGATGTCGTTTTACCTCTCAACGAATCCCGCCCTATACTGTCGACATATCCAGGATATTACTTTGTTGATGAAAGAAAATATTTCTTCTATATTTTTTCACATGCTGTTATGGCTTGGGAAATTGCTGTGACTGTAATAGTTTCTCACGATTGTATGCTCCTAACTTATATCGAGCACGTCTGCAGTATTTTCGCCCTAGTCGGGTAAAAATAATTTGGTCTTGTTAGCAAAATTGATGCCATGCGCATATCATTACGATTATATTTACAGATTTCGGTTTGAACGATTAATATACAATGATGCCACGAAACTTGTACATTCTTGTACAAGTGATACGTACCACAAACGAATTGCATTCTCCGTGTATACGCACCGAAAAGCTTTAAAGTGAGTAATCTGTCAATGTAGAGAGAGAGAGAGAGAGAGAGAGAGAGAGAGAGAGAAAGAGAAATTTCGATCCGTATTATTAATTATTGTATCTCTCACACTTTTGCAACAGATTCGCTCAATTGATCGGAGATACGTTTTCGTTAACGCTGACTATACAATTAGCATTAAATACAGTAATGATCAGCATTACGTTATTGCAAGTACGCGCGTGTTTATTTATTTCAAGATTCCATTCAACAATATATATCCTTCGCACATTTAAAAACAGATAATTAAATATTTTTTTGAAATTATAAGAAAGTGCATGTGCCTCGCGCAAAAAATTAAAATATATATTTTTTTGTGTACTGAAGGTCACGCAGCAGCAAGCCGATATTTTAGAAATGATACGATATGCGATGTATGTCATTGGTCAATTAATCCATCTATTTTGCCTCAGTTTTGAGGGACAAAAGCTAATAGATCATAGTCTTCAAACCCGCGATAAAATGTAAGACGAATGATTTTGTAACCATTATACTTTATTGGAATTTAGTTAGTCTATATATAATATGTATATATATATATATATATATATATATATACCTATATATATATATATTAAAACATGCTGCAGCTATAATAGTCTTTGGTATGAAACACCCCCCAAGTTGCAAAGGATGCTTCTGTTCGTCATGCAAAAGAGTCTTCAACCTATTTTTTTAAGTGCTAGCAAAATCTATATTTTCTCAATGGAGAATTTCACCATGGTAAATATTACAATATACAAATTGTAATTATTGTAAAACAGCAACTTATTTAGTAACATTGGTATATGTTTTAAGATTGTGCAAACTTCAATGTCATACTTTACTGTACTCTCATCCTTGGAATAATTAAGCAACAGTCAATTATATCCAAATTAATGTCATTTATGCATCTAGTTTATCAGCAAAATCATATTCTCATGTAACATCAAAAGGCAAGTTTGTTACTTATTTGTGCGTGAGTAACCTTTACAATAATATAATGTAATGTAAACAATGTAGTGAATTTTTATCACTCGCTTGTCTCGGCGCACGTTAGTACTAATAAAATTAAACAAAAGATAAAATATTCGCAACTTCGAAATCCGTTTTGTGTAAATAAACGAAAAGACGCATACAAATTATTAAAATATAGTTATAATATAGTCTGATAATTTAAGAAATCTGTAACCTTTATATAACGCAATACAAATGAATACCGATACAATTTTGCAGTAAGTATTACTTAAGGTACAAGTCCTTTATTGTTATCACAAGGAAAATATAAGATACGGATTTCTTGATTCCTTATCGAAAGTGTCCGCTAAAGTAATTAATCAGCTCTGCTGTCAATTGTTTAGAATAAAATTATATACAGTAAAGTCTCTGTATGTTTTCTCTCCTCGTCAGTTGCCAGAGTGAAAAAAGAAAGAGAAAAAAAAAATAGAAAACGTCACCGTCCGTGTATAATACAGAGATAATATTTCGTATATAAAATAATATTGTTCAGTATTATTCAATATCAAGTGTTTTTTTAAGATGTCATTTACCGTACCTTCGTCTTTGGAATATAATTAAACAATGGTCTTGCAGCCAGTCCGTCCGCAAAAATATAAATTGTACTTTTTATATGACGTCAAAGCAAGTTTGTTGGCTATTTGCACGTGAGTAATATTTACTGTATTGCAATTATCGCAGTGAATTTTTTATCATTCTCGCTTGTCTTTGTGTGAATTACTTGAACAAAATAAACAAAAGTTGCATTACGAGAAAATATTTGTAGTCCAAGATGTTTTAAATAAAATAAAGTATAAGAATGACTATATATATGTATATAGATTACTTATATCTATATAGGTATAGATTAATTATAAGATTTAATAATTTAGGAAATTATTTGTAATCTTTACTTATAATCCAATATAGATGAACTTACCGATACAGTTTCGCAATACTATATTATATAATTAAGTACAAGTTACATACGTCATTCGTTGTTATCTGCACAAGTAAAATATAAGGCATGTTGTTCTTCCCTTATCGAGCATTCAATCTAAAATGAGCATCCACAACGTTTGTTAAAGTAGTTTGTCGTGTTGTTTAATTCGTCAAAGATGGATCTTAAATTTTTTAACAAATTCTGTGCTGTCATTGCTTAGAATGCAATTGTATATAATAAGGTCTGTACGTTGTTTTGTCAGTGTTTAGAAAGAAAAAAAGAAAAGAGTAGAGACCTCATCATATCCGTATATATATGTTTAGAGACTGAAGAATTTTCTTGGAAATTCTATGATCGATACATGTTCCGTACGCGGCGGGAGGGAATTCCCGCAAAACAAATTCGTAACGTATGCTTATCAATGAGGTATCTATATATAAATGTCAGTCCTACCCTCTCTATATAAGAATTACATGTCACTCTTTACTGTGTGGTGCATACCACAATTGCTATGCAAATTCGTTATAAGCCTATAATAGCGTTTATATCATGTTGTATTATGTATGATATGTGTTTGAGAGATCTCAGACCCTTTCTCGTAACAAAGGGGGGAATCAAGTGAAATGAGGGCTTTGGCGACAAATTTTAAATTAGACATCTACGCGAGATCAAGAGACGAAGAATCGCCTGTGAGCTATATGGATATCGCTATTTGGAATCTGCATTATTACGATGTTGTTAAAAGAGTGTCATCGTTGGCCGGTCAGTGGCCTCATCAGAGACCAAAGATGAGATTACTCTGTGTCGGCTTAGTGACTCTGAGCACATTTTCTATAAATATTCCACAAGTAATACTTTTTATAAAGATTTTTTTTCAAGACATGTGTAGTAAGTATTAATAGTGAAATTTTTAATCCAATCAAACGATATACTTTCAGATGGCTAGATTTGTAACATGTGACAGAGAATTGCAATGTATTTTCGAAACTATGACATCGTTTATGTTAACACTAATGAGTTTGTTGAAACTGTACACATGCTACCTTAATCGCTACAAAGTACTGTGTATATACACAAAGTTATTTATTGATTCTAAAAGTCAATGCATTTCTTCGAACAAATTGAATTGGATATTTTACTTGCAGCTTTTGATAAAACTTTTCAATGTATGTTCGCGTGTATATATCTTTACATATATACCTTTGTACATACCTATACCGGGTACGGAAAAGAATTAATAATTAAAGATGTTTAAATGATTACCAACAAAGATTATATTGTCATCATGAATATTTCAAATCACATTTACGAGAGGCCTCTCGGCTATTAATTTCGTAAACTAATAACGATTAGTAAGAGATAATTCTCTTACCAACAAGTCCCAACAATGTTTCATATACATATATTATACATACGTATACTAAAGTAATAAGTTAATCCTAAGCAGACTCGTAAGAGACTCGTAAACTTGTAAAAACTTATTATGACCAATGCTTATAATTTTATGCAATATTTTTACAGATTGCTTCTTGCTAATCGTAAGAGTTAGGTTTACGAGAAATCATAGATATTTACAAATAATCTTACACGATACACATATAGAATTACAATTCAGTCATAAGTTCTTACAAATCTTACGAAGAAAAGTTACGAGCCTTAAGATACTGTTTAAAATTTACCTGTAAAATTCTTTAATAGTGTTACAACCTGCATCAATTAGAGCAAAGTATATACAAATTACCAAAATCAGTTTGTTCAAGAGCTGACTTTAGAACTCGAGAATCCTTGCGGTCACGTTGTGTCTATTATTATTATTATTTTTTTTTATATTAATCGTTTCATTATTGCGTTTGAATTATTTTCAAATTTACGACAAAGCAAAGAATTTAGAATTCCATCGATCGTAATGCATTCATTTGATTTTTCAAAGCCCATTGCTAATTGATTCTTATTGTTAGATAAAAGATCTCACCGATCGTTTGTTCATCGATTGGAATGCATTGGAAACTTCAGAAGAGTACGAAATTATGAAGAAATATGCAAAGAATGGTAGACGATACTCTTTGGGATACTCGTGTAAGAACAAACTGTGCAATCTCTATCTCTCGCATACTCTGCTCCTTAATTTTTTTCTCTTCAATGTGTATAAAAATACACATTTAAATAAATTAAAAATTATTAGATGATTACTTAATTTCTTAATTCTTGCGTAGTGTATTGCTTTGTAGCTGTCTGTCTGTTTATGTCAATGTCTCTCATACCGCAACTGTTGGATGTTGTATTACCTCTCAACATATCCCGCTCTATTCTATTGACATATCCAGGATATTACTTCGTCGATGAAAGAAAATACTTCGTCTACATCTTCTTACATGCTGTTATAGCCTGGGAAATTGCTATAACTGGAGTACTTGCCCACGATTGTATATTTGTAACTTACGTTGAACATGTTTGCAGTATGTTTGCTATAGTTGGGTAAGCATGGATATTTTTGCATGTAAATGAGGCACATATATTTTTATAATTTTATTCAGATTCCACGCAAAATGGGTATCGTATGAATTGTTTGTAGATTTCGTTTCGAACGTTTATTCTTATATAATTGCAATGTGAGCAAAGTGAAAACTATAAATACTAATACGGATGATAGATATCGCAAAAGAATTGCGTTTATTGTGCATGCACATCAAAAAGCTTTAAGGTAAACACAAAATCGAACAAAGTATGTAACATAATGTCAAAAATGAATCTCCATTAATTTTTATAAGAATAAACAAATATCCGGAAACACGACAAAATTCGAATCTAGCTCTTATCTCTCGTTTGCCATCACAGGTACGCGCAACTTCTTGAAGATACGTTTAGCGTACCTTTCGCTTTGCAGATATTAATAGTAACGATAACGATGAGCATTACCTTGCTACAAGTATGTATTCATTTATTATAAAATATATGTATATATATATAGGTATGTATGTGTACTTTGCAACAAATTGTTGTTTTATGTGCTGAAGATGATGCAGCAGAATGATAACAGCAATATTTTAGAAACAACGAGATACGCGTTATACGTCATTGGTGAATTGATACATTTGTTCTTCCTGAGTTTCGAAGGGCAAAAGCTAATAGATCATAGTCTTGAGATACGCGACAAAATGTAAGATTTTTTTCTTTCTAAAAACGTCTATCATCACATTTTCGATTCTTTCTTACATTTGTGTGAAACATAAATTTATAGATATAATAGCTGTTGGTACAAGGTATCCATAAAGTCACAAAAATTAATGATATTGGTAATGATAAAGAGTTTTCGATTGAGTTTCTTAAGCGCCGGTAAAATTTACATTTTTTCTTTGGAGAGCTTCACTACGGTAAAACAAAAATCATTACAAGCAAATATTGCTTTGCAAGAGCTTTTTTCACAATATACGTGACGCTTATCTATTTTAAAGATTTTACAAACTTCGATGTCATACTGTATGGTACTCGCGTCCTTTCAATAGCAAGTATTCCGGCGATTAATCGCGCGATGGCATCATCGAAAACAAAAAAGGAAAAAAATGGAAAGTATAGCAATCATTGAGAAATTCTCCTGTTAGAATAGTGCATGACTGTCATTAGTCAGATGTACGTAACATGTTAAATTTGCATTAATTTATATGATATATATATACATATACATATATATATATATATATATATAGATATATATATATATATATATATATACATGAATTTAATTCAACTTTTCGCGAGTTTAAAGTTTTCAAATACGAAGATTCAACTTGCAGAGAAGAAAAAACCGAACAAAGAAAATGAAACTTTCTACTGATTACACGTCTTTTCATTTGGAAGGAACTTGCAAAACGATTGCCGTCGTCTTTCTCTCCGTCGACCGTCAGTATAATAGGGTTTCGCTTTCCTCTACATTATATTTAGTGTCAAGGAAATAAATATCACTCGTGTCATATACGTAAGAGCTACGTGTCATTCATTGACGCCGCGTCAAAGACACACTGCGATTATTATAGTTAGCTATTATTACGAAAACATTGTAGGGCAGATAGAGAAGGGGAGGGAAGGGGAGGGGAGGAGAAGAGAGGGGGAGCGTATGCAGCATTAATATTCTGTGTATAATGTGTGATGTATGTCCACATGTCGCAATTAAATTAAGTGTCCCCTGTATCGCCCAAAAAGGGGATGAAGAACTTAGATAAAATAATATTAGTCGAAGTTAGTCGACTGGATAAAGCTGCCTTTGAATTAACTATGGATTTCACCTCGAGTCAATATTACGGTGTCGTTAAGAAAGTATCATCGTTGGTTGGCCAGTGGCCGTATCAGGATCCAAAAACAAAATTAATCTGTTTAAGCCTCGTGACTTTGAGCACATTTTCTATAATTATTCCACAGGTAATTGATAATATAAGTATTAAATTCTTAATAAAATTGACAAGAGCAGTAGATGAAGTTTTTGAAGCGCGCGCGGTATTAAATAAGCATGGTGTATTTCCAGATGGCTAAATTCGTCATATGTGATGGAGACTTGCAATGTATATTTCAAACCATGGCAGCACATATGTTGACGATTATAACATTGGTGAAGCTGTACACGTGTCACTTGAACCAATGTAAAGTAAGTACGTGTTAGCCGCGTGTT